TTGATTCAACTCTAGTGCCACAGAACCTTCACCCACTTCTACGGGTGCGAGTGTTTCAACATTCTCTCTTCTTGGGGGAATAGCTCTTGGGGGAATCAAGTCCATAAGAAGCATGTTTTCATCAACTGGCTCCGCCGAATTGGAGCTAGAGCTTTCACCAACATCGCCCCTTGTTGGCCTAGGGCCTCTAGGTTCCTCACGCCGTGACATCGTGCTATAAAACGAGAAAACGATTCAGAAACATGACACTAAGGTCCACTGTGGACGACTTAACAAGAATTAATACCGTACAACACTTAGCATGCAAGACTATGCAAGAAACATTTTAACATAAACAAGTAAGCAAGTAAGCACATAGGCAGTTAAGCATGCTCATTTAAATAAGATACCACGTAGCAAGTAGTCAAGTAAGCAACACAAACAACATTCCATGCGACTCTATGTAGGCCTCTACCCGTCGTCCTAAAGGTTTTTGAACCTTTGCTCTGATACCAAATTTTGTAACGACCCTAGCTGATGCCAAGAATTTTACAAAAAATTCGGCATAACCTCCCCTAAAAATAGGCCTATCACAACCTGTTTAATTGCATTTTTAACCCGTTATGGCTCAAATTCCGAATTCACGGCAATAGTAGATGATGATATACAATCAAATGACCTCAATAATACTTCAAACTAGTATTACTCTCCCCATTTATCAATAAGGTTTACATGTTATCAAATTCACATCCAAAATATCATCAAATACCTTAATTACATTACATGACAAAGTTTTTGCAAAATATACATATACACCTTCACACTTTTAGTGCTTTGCAAAAATAATGGGAGATATACAAAAGACACAAAAGTGAGCTTCTAGTATCGCTCAAGCTTGAGGTGGGTTGTCGTCCACCGGTTCTTTTCCAAGACCTGAAAAAAATGTATAAATAGTAGGGTGAGCTATATGCTCAGTAGGTGACACTTAAGACACAAATCTTGTGTCCTTGTGAATTCAAGCAAAGCATAGGCCAATGGGAGATAGGGATCATACAACGTAGGGGATCAAATACAACATACAAGTCAATTCCAAGTATAAACAATGCAATGCATGTCAATGACACTCCCCATTCTCATTCTCAAAACCATCACTTTCAAACGTTAATACAGCCCGCCCTTTGGTAACCCCGCCGCAACACGAGAGGAGGATTGGCTAGTGTCCCTGACCCTTGGTAACCCCGCGGCGTCATTATGGGGCCCAGCTAGCTCAACCACACTAGGGCGACTCCCTAGTCCCCTCTAGGCTATATTAACCTCCGGCCCGTTGGTAACCCCGCAGCGACCGGGTTTATCAAAACCATTTCAAAAAAACTATCATCTCCCAAAAATTCCTCATTTTCATTTCAAGACAAATTCTCCCATTTCATGCATCCCAATGACATGTCCAAGAATGTACATATAATCTCAATATCATGACAATGTGAAATTTTGGCACAATACAATTAAGCATGGTCTCATACATCACTTTCAGCAAGTTTACACATGGTGGACATAAACTCAACACATAGGCAAGCTTTTCACATAATACATCACATGTGCATAAACATACATTTCTCTAGACAACATTAAAATAATCATTAACACAATTAATCCCTAAGTAAAGCATGTTAGCACATAAAAGAGGTGTAATTCACAAAAAACACCACAAAGCCATCATCTATACATGCTTTTCACATAGACAAGTCATATCCCTAAGACATGAATTTTTTCTAAACATCACTTACACCTCATTGAAGCAATTAATTCTCAAATTTAGCATGTCTAGCACAACAAAAGAGCATAACTCACAATGGAACAAGAAGAGAGTGAATTAAGATGCCCCTACCTCAAGATTGCACCAAAACCCTAGAAAATGGGTCCTCAAATTCTAGCTCCAAGGAAGGTAGCAAAACTGGAATTGCTGGTACTAGAACGTAGAGCTCGTCACACTCGTCGTTTTGCCTCAAACGGCACCTAAATCCGGCAAGGATTGAGAGAGTAATCAAGGGTTAAAGCTTGAAATGAAAAAAAAAAAGAAAAAAGGAAAAGAGAAGGAGCCGAGAGCAGCAGTCGGGAGAAAGAGAGAAAAAAAGAACAGAGACTAACTTGGTCTCTTAATTCATTTAAAAGGGACGTGGGTCCCACCTCTCTTTTTCTCTTTTTTTTTTTTTTTTTTTCTTTTCTTTTAATACACACCGCACACACAGGCATATATATATAAAGGCACAAACATTACAGGCAATATCATGGAAAAGCGCAAAACAGTCTATTATTGCTTCATCAACTATGGAGGTTGAATTTGTAGCATGCTTTGAGGCTACAAATCGTGGTTTGTGGTTGCGGAACTTTATTTCAGGATTTGGTGTTATGGATTCAATTTCCAGACCGCTGAAAATTTATTGTGATAACACCGCAGCTGTCTTCTTTACTAAAAACGATAAGTATTCCAATAGCGTTAAGCATATGGAGCTGAAATATCTTACCGTTAAAGAAGAAGTTCAGAAACAACGAGTGTCTTTTGAAAATATAAGCACACAGCTTATGGTTGCAAATCCATTGACAAAAGGATTACCACCCAAGACATTCACAGGGCATGTTGAAAGAATGGGTCTTGAATGTAATCAAAGTTAATTATTATTTTTGTTGTGGATTGCTTAACAATGCTTATATATATTTGACATTTTGAGCTCATTAAAATGTGTTTCTGATATTTCCTGTTAATTTATGTTTGTACATGCATGTATTACTTTAAATGATGAAAACAGGAATAGTCTTAGAAAAGACATTATTGCTAGACCTTTATTGATGCTTTTCACTCATAGACTATGTTAAATGGGTTGCTAGTGTTGTGGTACATGGAAGGGACTGTGTCGTTTAGTGACATACAACCGCCATGACTCACATTGGTAATTTGTTTACCATGGTATATATGATGACCATATTAATATCTTAATTTGATTTATGGTACACACTAATGACTATTTTACTAAACCACTACAGAAGTTATATATGTGCCAAGTGGGAAAATGTAAGATTATTTATTTAATTGTGACCCACATGATTTGGACATATGACATATTACTTGGTGGTTAAGTAAATAGATATCAATTAATTATTCTTGGTCAACTTATAATTACCTTTTTTGGTATTTACTTATTGGAGAAGTGTTTTCCTTCTAATTCCTTACTTTGATGGAAAGTAGAATTATGTTTTTAAAAGGAAAACTGGTCCTCTCTCTGCCTTTATAAAAGTGCATATACTCCATCAATTATGTACGATTATTGAGACAACACGTAAAAGGTTATTGTGTGCAAAAGGCCAAGAGAGAGAAACCAGTTTCTGCCTTTACCTGTTGATCAGAGTTGCAGATTGGTTCTTAGTTAAAGGATCTGGACGTTAGATTTAATCTCAACAAGGTTTGATATCATGAATAGAGGTATGTATATCTAACTATATTTATTTATGCGTTATAAGAATGTGAAATTAATTGAAGTTCTAAGATTTAGGGTTTTATGATTATTTGTGATTAAAGTCTAACACAAATTTAATTAGAGTTTTTACATTCTTTTCTTCTTAACATTTTGAACACGCCATACACTTCAAGTGTTAAAGAAAAGAAAAAAAAAAGTAAAAAAAATAAATAAATAAATAAAGGAACTAAACTGCCCTTATATAATATGACAATAAAATTAATAGCAGACTTATCTAGGACAAACATTAGATAGAGAACTGCACAGGAAAATATTTAAAGAAACAATAAACACATGATCTACTGAGAGATAAAAGGCTTTAGATTGCTAGAAATTTTGGATATTTTTATATAATTTCAATTTTGGGTCTATTCACGTGATTATATCAAAATGCACTTTTATTAAAACACTTATATATTCACAATGTAATAAATAAAACAATATATAAAAGTAAATGGTCGAAAAAACTCATATTAAAGTAACAGAGAGAGTAAGAAACTTATAGCCTGTTTAATGGAGGCACACAATATTGCGTTGTCCTAAAGCCTAGACGGCCTGACGACTATGAAAGGCTCCATAATACAACTCTAATGTCCTCCATACGCACGTCCCTACGTGCTAATTGTGACGACTAAGAAAAGCTTCTTAATATAACTCCAATGTCCTTCATAGGTTCACAAGTGACGATCACCAAATCCATTGTTATGTTGCCCATAAAGTCAAATATATATATATATATATACACACACTCAAATACATATAATATTTTGGTTGAATGAATAGAGGTATTAAACAAAAAAAAAAAAAAAAATCTGAAATAAAAGGACACCCTTAGCCAATAGACACGTGTCGATCATATCTTTTCACATATAACATTAAGAAGTTTTAAAAACATCTATTATTTATTTAAAAAACCTAACAGAAAATTGATATTAAAACAAGAAGCAAAAAAAAAAATCGTGAAAATATTTGGACAGTTGACTAGGTAAATAAAGGAATGTTTTGGAAAGATAGAATCTGCACCGTCGGTTCATGCTAACATTACAGAATGATCGTCTTTTCTAAAAGTAACCTTTCGAATTCAAACACCAATCATATTTATCACATTTGACCCCTCTCAAATCAACCACTTGTAACGTCCTAAAATTTAATTTTTTAAAAAAAATATATAATATATTTCCATCAAGTAAATGCCACCAATCGGTTAGGACATAGAGAGATCTTGATTCCGAGAACTCTTGGAGTTGCAAGGTAGATGGTGCAGATAAATATATCATATGTATAATACGAACAATATATACATTGACTCTATGATTGCAGTCTATATACAAACCTGAGCTTCAAAGTGAAACTACAATTTTCCCATACTATAGTAACAATTGATGCATTTACTTTTGTTGGCCTCTTCATTCAAATCATAGGAGACATAAAAATATCTAGTAGTGAGAGACGTTCCCTTCTTTCCTAGGTTATTCACCAATCATTAGCCATAAAAAGGGGATGATCCAGAGCTACAGAAACATGAACTTTATACGTATAACAATCTATATATTTGTATTGTTACATTGTGTGGTACAAGAGACATTGATTTTTAATTCTTCATTGACATAGCTGAAGAAATAAAGCAGCAACTCTCAAAACTTAAAATGCAGATCTAAAAATTATGCCAGTTGCAGGGCTTCCTCACGCTTGATGTCAAACACCCTAACTAGGGCATCTTCAACAACCTGGTCAAATCCAGACACAAATTAATAATCAATTCTTACGTCAATGGCACTAAAATCCCAAACTAATAAATAATATAATAACTGTGAGTTAACCCAGGTTGCATTGAATGTGCGAGGCTCGCTAGGTCGGAGCAGGCCTGTGAGAGGCAAGGCTCTAGTGCGAGCTACTTGTGCTCAATTCCCACATCGCCTGGGTGCGTGGAAGAGTGAAGTGTTATATGTAGGTTCGTCACCCTTTTATTACACAACGCATTTTAAAGCCATGATGGCCGTGAATTTATCAGAACTCCGGAGTTAAGCGCGCTTAACCTGGAGAAGTACCAGGATAGGTGACCTATTGGGAAGTTGTCCGGGGAGCCAAAAGCAAACACTATTATGTCTGGTGGGGTGAGGGCCGTTACAGAATGTTTATGTGGTTTACCGAACATGCTTGGATATGCTTACCCCTATTTCAAGTTCTAGTAACAGGGCAAGGCGGGTAACGGAAAAATGAGGACAATCACACCCCTATCTATAGAAAAATCATGTTTGTTAGAACTTACCTTATCAGGGGTAGAGGCACCAGAGGTCACACCTATTGTAATTGGACCCTCTGGTAGAAAGTTTTCTTTCTCAACCAGCTCACCATGCTGTCACAACAAGACAAATCAAACATAAATGAATAATAATAATAATAAACAGAGTTGGGAACAAATAATGGGCTTCAAAATAAGAATTATCTACTTAAACCTACATTCAACTTATAACTTATTCTGTTTCCAGGACCAATTCTTTTTTCACTGTCGATCCAATATGATGGAATTCCACGGGCCTCTGCAATCTCTTGTAAGTGGGAGGTGTTGCTCGAGTTCCACCCCCCAACCACTAACATAAGATCCAGTTTATCTTCCACCAGCTTATACATGGCATCTTGACGCTCCTGAAGGAAAAAATGATCATCTTATGAGACAAGATTCATCAAGACTGAAGCATAATAATGACCAGTCCAGTAAGGCAACTTTCATTTTCAGCTAATTTCTAATTGGGTTTTGAGTGTGTACATGGGTCGGCGAAGTGAAGCAAGAACCCAACCAAAGCAGGAAAAAAAAGAACAGTTGTTGTCCGAATTTCCTTTTGAATTCTGGACATTTCACAAATAGGTCACTTTGAAAAGTATGAATTCTGTTCCCACCAAAAGTTTAACATATATTGTAAAAAGCCTCATCAAGGGGATATTCTATATATTCATCCGAAGAAAAAAAAAAACAGAGATATTCTATTTACTTGAGGCCCATTGCAACAATCAAGTGTTTGGTTCAATTCCATCGCAAACAGAAGACTCAGAAAGACTGGTCAATAAAGGTGGCATTTCTTTCAGCAATTAATTAATCAACAAACTTAAAACTAACTCATACCCATTCGGCAGTCAATTAATCCACAAGTCATAAACAAAATATTCTGCAAGACAACAGCCATCCAGCATGGATCTATGCAATATGATCTTCTCTGGTGACTCCCAATCTTTTTTAATGCTAGCATAGCAAATCTATAGGTCATTTTATGTACAGGTTTCAAAAAGAAATCAAAATTAGGGCACCATCAAATTCATTGGATTGAAATTTAATGATTGAAAATACATATCATGTCAAATTTTTGTATGATCCACTCAACATGATACACATGCAGGGCTACAATTACTCTCTGGCTCTCAGCTCGCACCCCATCATACAATATGCCTCAGTATTGCTTTATTGTTAATCTAGCAGGGTTTAATTAGCCAATCAGATCTTGAGGTGACAATTCAACTTGAAAAGAACCTTCCTAGTCCTCAGAATATTGGGTCTGCTGATACGAGTCAATTATCTGCTTACACCTATAGGCCAATTCATTACCAATTTATAACTATACCCACAAACTAAATAGATCCAAACGGTATTCATGTAAGCCTGACCAAAACCAACATGGTTTTGAACAGATTCAGCTTTACCTAACCTGATCATACTGCAACATTTTCAAAGACTCGACACAAACTCATTCACTTGGCCTAAAACCCATAGGATGTCATGCTGTTGCTTAATGCCAACAAAATCTAATACCACACCATCAAAGCTGTGCAAGTTAAACAGGTATTGCTAACTCAATTGAGTCGAATTTAACCTACCTATAATTTTCTAAGTATAATCAAGTACATGTAGACTAATTTTAATCGCATTCCCATTTTCTGAGTTCAAAACTTTTAAAGCATGGTGTTTTTTAAAACCTTTTTAACATATGTGTTGGCAGGTTGGGCTTAAGACTAACCCATATTTGACCTGACCAAAAAACACCCAATCCAGATATTCAGAGTCAGAGCCTACCCTATTTCAATGAACACATGCCGTTTACATGTGTACTTTTTATCAGGACAATTATAATTTGCAAACTTGACAAACTCAAAAAATAAACAAATAAATATATAAACATAGGTAATTTGCTAAAATTAAAGAACTGGGTGTAACTTTTAAGAAACAAGCATTTTTTGCATGAGGGGCAACATTATAAGAGCAAATAGCCAGGGCTCATTCAAACATTGAAAGGTAGCTATTGATGCCCTTGCAAGCAGTTATAATGATCCTCATGCAATATGCATACATGCTTAACAAGGACAGTTTACATTAACAGTGCCAAAAAATCGAAGTATGGATAAATGATCAAATCTCCAATAATGGGGGTGTTTGCTCCTAGTTCCTAGGAGTCTTCAACTAGAGCCTGATGGCAATTTGGGGCTAATAAAACAGATCTTCAATGTCAAAATAAAGACAAACAAAAAGGAAGAAAAAATATTTAAGTATAAAATGATAAATAGAAACAGACACAAGTATGACATACTTTCTCAAAAACATATCACAAACAAATATTTGCCATGAAAATTGGCTAAATAAATAGACTAGAGTAGAAAAAATTACTTGAGTAGCATCACATATTGTGTTAAAACTTATGAAGTGCTCATTGACATTTTCCACACCATATTTACGCATCATGGTCCTCTCTAATAATTTCCCTGTGAAAAAATAGAAGTAAAAAAGAGAATCACAACTTGCATTTGTTGACAACCGATGGAAAAAAATAGTTTAAAATGCAACCAACCAATCTCTTCAGTTTCTCCCTTGAGCATCGTAGTTTGATTTGCAATACCAACTTTTACCAAGTCACTGTCTGGATCAAAACCCTTAGAAATTGCAAATTTGAATTTCTGCAACCAATCAAAAGATTGTCACCATAAAATTAGTATAACACTTAAACACTTCAAAATTAAGACAGATAAAACTACACAAACTGCACCTCTAGAAAAGCTTCTTTGGTTGAGCTAGATCCATCAAGTTCACCCCCAAGAACGTAATCGCACACATACGTTGCCTGGATGAAAAACAATTCATATCTTCAAAATTTTATGATAATAAATACTGGCTTCCCTCTTTGGTGCAGTATACCTTTTTTTGAAGGGTAAATTTCACCTAGACCCCCTGAGGTTGGCGCATATTTCACCTAGATGGAGATTTGGTTTTTAGCAACCACTTAGACCCCAATTTGATTTTTGGCCTCAAACACATGCGAATGGATATTTTTACCCTCAAAATTTTAATACTACAAAATATCTTTAATTTTAAATGACATAAATGCCCCTCTTTCATCTCTCTCGTCTGCGTCTGCGGTCCTCCCACCCACCCCCTTCAGCCACTAACACACCACCTCAAAAAATGTATAAAACACCCACAAACCACCACCTCTGTAATCAATCAAACAAACCAAATCTTACACCCAATCACAATCCCACAATCAACGCCCCAATTCACAAAATCGGAGCATGTAATTAACAATCCACAAGAAGAAAAAATAAATAAATAAAAATTCAACAATCCACCGCCTGCAAATCAAACCCAAACTCGGCAACGATGGCTGCCATCGAGACCTGCAAGACTCAACAAACCCTGCTGGAGACGAATCCGAACCAGAATCGGACTCAAACCATGGCAAAGACAAGCTCAGCACACCGTCGCTGGAATTGCGCCACAGGCGCTGATCGACATCTTCTTGAGGAGAGAAGTCACGGCGTGTTGGAGGTCCTCTTTACCGCGATCGACGGCGATTGGTGACTGTCGATGCAGATCTTGACCGTCGGCTAGAGGTCTTCCAGCGATATGTTCTTGATTATCTCCGTCGAGAAGTTCTCGCGTTGCAGAAAACCCAAGCTCAGGGTCCATCTAGATTATAGCGAGCTTTGTGGCTTCGGATGATGGCGGCGGCGAGCTTGAGATTCAGTCATCCCGTCCATCGCCAAGCTCCCTCATCCTAGCTGCTTTGATCTCATAGCTGACCGCCGAGAGTCCATCCCATTCGCCGGCTGCCGATTCAATCATCCCGTCCATCGCCAAGCTCCCTCATCCTCGCCGGTCAGACTCAAACGTGCACAACTACAGTTCATCCACAGCCATCGCCCGAGCACGCCGTCGCTGTCATCTAAGCTGCCGCTAGTCATCCACGGCCAAACCGATCTCCCAACCTTCTCAACCGCCGACCTATATTCGACTCCCCTGTTCTATTTATTGGGCTCCTCTCTCTATATATATGTGAATCACTCTCTCTCTCTATATGTGAATCATTCTCTCTCTCTCTCTCTCTTCACAAATATCAGAGAGGTCTCACTTTGCCAATCTACACTCTAGCCTCATTTCCCCAACAGAAGATGGTGTGGGTTAATTGGGATGATTGTCTGAGAGGTGGAAGAAGAGGAAATGTGTGTTGGGGGCAGTTTAGTCACAAAAAATAGTCAACACGAGGTCAAAGGGTCACATAGTCATTTAATACCAAAAATTGACATTTGGGGTGTAAGTGAAATTTTAAGCCACTAATTGGGGTCTAAGTGGTCGCTAAAAACCAAATCTCCATCTAGGTGAAATATGCACCAACCTCAGGGGGTCTAGGTGAAATTAACCCTTTTTTGAAATGTAGAGATAGGTCAAAAGAAAAAAGAAGCATCCAAATTATACATACCTCTGCCTTGTTCTTCACAATGACATATTTTCCGGCAAAAGAGGCAGTAGCGATGGTCTCCTCGTGAGAATATTTGCCATGAATGACTGAAGTATATTCTCCCTTCTTGTGCTTTTCAACAGTATTCCAAACCTTCAAAGAAATTATAAATATATGGTCTCAATAATGAAAGAATTACATGCAAGGAAATCAGCTTAGCAGCAGTTCACTTTCTCTCTCTCTCCCTCTACCTTAGACACCCACGGGCAAGTTGTATCAACTATTTGGACATTTTTGTCACTCAAAACCATCATCTCTTCCACTGCAGCTCCAAAAGCAGGCAATATCACAACATCACCCTTCTTAACTACGTCAAATTCTTTCTTCCCCTCCTGGACAGGGATATCCTTAACTTCCATCTCCTCCAATCGCTGCAGACAAGATCAAATCATTTACTAATTGGCATAATTAGTTATTGAATAGAAAGGGAATGACTTACACCATATAGCGATGGCTTATTTAATTGTCCATCCAAATACTACCGAATGTAATAAAATGTTACCAGGAATGTTAACCAAGTCAAACAATTCCACATTCTCCATGATCAAGTACGAAAGCTTCACTGGTGTTAGATGGTCATTAAAGAGAAATGTTCCAGCCAATGCAAGGTGCGGGAGAGTAGAACAGGTTAATGCATAACACTGTTTGCACAGAGGCCATTGCTTCTTATTAAGAATATTGTTTTCACGAACTTTCTACGCTAAGTCCGAATTTCAGCATAATACTCTTGGTCAGCACTTAAATGGAATAACAAAAAGTACATTACCAAGTGTTGGTCCACTTACTTTCTGTGAAGGGAAAATTGGACACAGATTCAACTTTTGGTATTATTTTACGCAAAATATCATATATGAGCCTGCATCCTAAGGTCATTGGTCCGAACTTTTATCATTGCATTAAGCAATGGCCCCTCGAAGGGAATAAGAAAACTCTGAAAAAATCCTAAATTCTAAAATTGATTGGAGCAAACATAATAAGAACTTTACAAAAGATCACCAAAACTGTAACGATATGATTAAAACTTTAATATTCCCAAAACTGTAACGATATGATTAAGATTTTAAATATTCCCATTATTTGAGAACCAGATTCGCGATCTTGTACAACGCTACAGAACACAATTTCACAAGGTAGTGCCTAATGACAATGAACACATAAATCATACAGAAGTATAATACTAAAGTACATGAAAAAGTGCATTATTCAGTAGATGTTCACAGGATACAGGGAGGGAAGACTAAAGATGAACCTAACCTTTGACATTATTTTGCACAAAGTAGCTATTCACTTGTATCTGCAGTTTCACACTTTTCAGTTCAAGTTTTTACCATAGCACCAAGCAAATACCCCCTTAAAATATAATAATAATTTTAAAAACCAACTAATCTAAAATAACCACATTATGCATGCATCTGCAGATAAAGATACATGCTACATATGGCATGGCAAATCCTAAGAAATTAAAACACCGACACAACAAAAAATAAATATATTTTTTTATATATGTGATCATATATAATAAGACTAATATCACTGTTCACCAAATTAAGAATAAAAAACCCCTGATCACAATAACTAATGAAACTACAGCAAAAATTCTCTAATTTAAAAAGAAAAAAGAAGAGAGACTGGACTAAGACCCTTTATAAAATTAGTTGTAACATAATCCATAACTAAACAAAGAATTGCAGTTGTGTAAAGAATGAAAGAAATACCAACGGGCCAGTGGCCTAGCGGTATCAGGCTCTTACTTCCCAAAGAGAGGTCAAGGGTTCAAACCCCAATGGAGGCATGTGTGTGTGAGTACCAACTAAGAAAAAATAAGAAAATAAAATAATAATAATAATCATAATAATAAATGAAAACAGAGAGAGAGAGAGAATTGGCTGAAGTGGAATTTCTAAATCCTTGCCAAAATTAGTGTTTCTTGAAGAAAAAGGAAAGCTAATTCTATTAGGAGAGAAAGAATTATTTAAAGAAAAAAAATAATAAATAAGGAGAATTAAGGTTTTATTGAGAAAAAAATTTTGTGCTTTGCTAATAATAAAAAAGAGAAGCTATAGGGGAAGAAAGGGATTTGCGATAAGAAGAAAGAAGAAAAGAGAATAAACAAATAAATAAACAAAAACAAAAAAACAAAAACATAAGAAAAAGAGGATTTAGTAAAGAATAAGACAAAGGCTCGAAACAGTCAAGCTTCAATAATTGGTGGTAGCTAGTTCAGAGCTTGGTTACAAAAAGCACGATTCTTACCATTCTCTTTCTAATCTTTTATAATAAGTCTAAATCTTGCCATTCTTTTTGTAATCTTTTACAATTCTAAACAAGTAATAAGTATAAAAAGATCAGGTAAATAGAACTGCTTGAGAACTTTCATATAAAAAAAACATCTTATTTTTTATGTTTTGACCTCTAAATTATTGAAAATTTTCAAGGAATTCCATAAACTTTATATTTTAACCAATCTTTTTCTCGAAATTTTTAAAATCTCCATTTAATCAAACACAGGTTTCCATGGCATGTTTGTGGTGTGTCTGGCATGTCCGTGTGTGTCCGCAATGTATCCAAAAAGAAAAAAAAATATCCAGACATGTGTTTTGGCATGTCGGACATGAGTCGAGTAGTGTGTGACGAGTGTCCATCTCCGACATGAACACTTTGACCTTTTAGGCGTGCCTGTGCTTAGTAGGTCACAAGTCAATAGGAAACTAAAGAGTAGAGGAACATAATTTCAACAAGTCTTTTAAAATATTGGATAGAGAAAACAAGATTAAGAACATAGAATACTATTATAAGCCATTCTCAGCAGGTAACAGAACATAAGCAAAACCTAACAAGCATGCTTGTAGATGATTTCAGTGAAGAAATATGCACATTCATGCAGATTTAAAATCTCTAACTACAAAAGAGAAGTGCCACAGGACCACACTAATGGATAGCAAATCATTTTTAATCAATAACAAGCAGAGTGATCCCAAAACTTGCATATGCAAACCAATACTAGTAAGGCAAACTAGCATCTTTTTACTTACTTTATTCTGATAGGTGTAAAAGAAAGATCATTATCAAGAAAAGCAAGCACACTAAATCGAGTTGCATGCGAAATCAAATTTCAGCTTTGCTTCTCCTTAGTATCCATTACTAACTAAATAGCGGCACTGGCCAAAAACATTTAAAAAAAAAAAAAATTCAACAACTTTTTTTTAGAAATTAGGGTGTGCGCTTTATAAACCTTATTAACAGTTGGATTGTGAATAATTTCATTTGTAATCCAAATTTTCTCCTCTGGAAATTGTTTTCTTGCTTCATAAGCTATCTGGACAGCACGCTCGACACCCCAGCAGAAACCATATGATTCTGCAAGTTTTACTGTAACATTTCCCCAAGTATACTCATTCCCATTCTCCTTCAAAGTTTTTATGATGTCACCTGAAAAATTTTAAACAAAGATAAGTGCACAAACCATAACTCGGAGACATCTGAATCATCACTTATATGTAAAACACAAGTTTGAACAAAACCTTGCATGCAATTGAGGAAGGACATCAAATTAAACTTTTATTAAATTCCATATTGAAGAAATTCAAAAAAAAAAAATAATAATAATAATAACAAATAGATAAATAGACAGAAGAAATAAAATCTTAATTTGGTTGCAGAATAACCAGAGGAAAAGAGAGGAATAAATTGAATCCTTATACTTCTTCCAATGTTAAATTAAAGTCTAGTACAGCAATTTGAGTATTTGATTGCCTTAAGCTGACCCTTTTATTTTTTCAAGGTTTTGGTTTTTTTTTATTAATTATTCTTTGAAAGTCAAACAGTAGAATAATATAGGAGTATCATATTAACCTTAGTATTTTTTTTTTTTTCTTTCAATTTTCCTTTCCTTAAATTTCTAGGAAACCAAACAGTCGGGCTATGAGAAAAGTGCAGAAAAAATTAAAGAACAAATGTTTTCTTGAAAAAAATAAAATTGGACTCTTTAGTTATTAAGCAGCTGAGAAACGGAAAGAAGTCCACCAAAGAGTTTTACTTATCTTATCATCCACCATTTTCTCCCCAACCAAACAGAATATTAAGCTCAAGGAACAAAATCCCTAGAATTGAAGATCTTACTGGTGTACTCGCGATTCATGAGCTCAAGAGTCTCCTCTTTATGTCCAAAACCTCGGCGATTATAGTTGTCACTCCTGGTCAAGTTCTTCCGAAACACCTTGGCGTCGAAATTGGAATCAACGGTGGCAGACGAAGAAGGGGAAGGAGATTCGCCGGCGGTGCAGCGGATGGAGACAGGCTTCCGGTGGAACACCTTGACATCCGGCCAGGAGAGGTCGGAGCGGGTTGCGATACGGCAGAATTGCAGAGAGATCGCCATGGACGAGGTGGGTGCGCACGCTAGTGGAATGAATACGTGTTGAAGAACTTGGGACTCCTCGACTCAGAGAGCTGAACACTTGGGTGAGTCCGTATTTTATCCAATGCCGAGCTCGTGATCCTCGTTTTTGCGCCGTTTTGGCATTTTGCTTGCTGGGATTGATTTAGTTGCTGGCCACACGATCCGATTTGTGTAATTACCAACAAGGACATCATTTTTGCTTCTTTTTCCCTAAAAATAGGAATAACACTGCGGACTGTGCTACTAAAAACATGAATATAACGTGGGACTCGTGGCTGCTCTGTGGATCCCACACTTGACTTGGCATAGAATTATTTCGTTTTTTAAATTAAACACGTGGAATTTTTTGTGCTCCAGCTAATTGTATGATTTGTTAGTCCAGTATGGAGTGTTCCAACCTCGCGTGTTCCTCGTGGCATGTGGGATCCTCTCCAATTTAAATATGTTTCTAAATCTAAGCATATCTACACGTAAATAATCACACAATTATTAAGTGCCAACTAGGGATGCACTATAGTCATATCTGAAACAACTGGTGACACATTAATATTGAGAATGAAAACTACTTCAATTGTTTTGACCTTAAGATTGAGACTTAAAAACATACATCCATCATCAAACATCTTGAGAAGAGCCAGAGTGTGTGATCCTTGTTTGATTATAGGAGTGGTTGAGTCAAAATTGTCACTCAACTTAAGTCTGAACCAGCTAGATTTAAGAGTTTCAGATTGAACACTGTATACATCACCATTTTCAGCTCTGCCAGACCATAAGAGAGTTTGATTCCCCTTTCTCTTTGTTGCTTTCTTCCAATGTCCAGTTAGCTTCCTTGACCTTTTCTTTGAACTGCAAGACAGAAATTCTTTGTACTTTCTTAGAGTCCCACAGACTATTCTTTCTAAGCTTGATGAGGATACTCTTTGCTGTCTGAAGCTTTGAATTCTTCTTTTGTAAATTGTACCTTCCAATAAGTGCATTATCTGATCCTCCCTTAGTTAGATGCTCCACTGGCTCAAGTATCTTCAAATAAAGACCATCATTCTCTCCTTTTACGTCAAATTCAGAATTCTCTTTAGAGACCAGAATCATCTTTTCAGCATTGTCCTTCATGTCTTTGTAGTTTTCTGAATTGTTACCATATTCCCTACATTTATAAAGAGTCTGACCTTGAGATGATTTCTTCTTCTTGAGCCTTAGTTCCTTGAGCTTCTTTGTAGAATAGTCAACTTCATCATCTGATGAACAATCAATAAGATCTTGTTCAATATCGTTCTCCTTGAGAGCAACATTCCATTCATTCTGAGTAGGGCTGTAATCTTCTTCACATAGTTTGGAACAGCTGAGCACTGTTTGGGATCATATGTTGCTCCAAGTAAATTCCATATTTCATTAGCTGTGATGTAGGCTTTGACCTTAGTAAGCTCTTTCAGTTTGAGAGCACTAATTAAAGTGAGCCCAGCTTTTACTTCATTACCAAATTGATCTTGTCACATGAGGAGGGATCTTCTGTCTTGAACATTGTAGTACTCTTGGTTGCAGCTTTCCACACTTCATATGACAGTGACATCAAAAATACCTCCATTCTGATTTTCCATGAGTCATAATCTGAGCCATTAAAAATAGGTGCTCTGTCCACATCTTGGCCTTCTTCCATATGTCAGATCTTTGTTGCAGGTGTGTTAATACCTAAAGAATGCAGACCAATGGCTCAAATACCGAGAGAAGGAGGGGGGGGGGGGGGGGGGGGGGGGGGGGGATGTGTGAATTGGTCTAAGTCAATTCCAATCCACTTTTCTCGTGTTTCTTCAATATTACAGAACAAATAAGAACAATGAATAGCCAATCCACAAGTACACAGGATTTACAAGGAAAACCTTTTCAATAGGGAAAAATCTTGGTTCTTGACCTCAGCCAATAAATTCCTTCACTAGTTGTATGCAAGTTGTTACACAAACTACAAGAAATTAGGGTTTTAGTGACGGTCGAATCTGTCCCTAAAAGCCCTAAGACTGTCCCTAATGATTGAATTCGACCGTCCCTAATAGCTGTGTCACAAAAGATTTTTAGGGACGGTAAAATTTGTCCATCCCTAAAAATATCAACATTTAGGGACGGACTTACTGTCTCAAATAAGACCGTCCCGTTTGATTTATTAGGGACGGACTTACTGTCTCAAATAAGACCGTCCCGTTTGATTTATTAGGGACGGACTTACTGTGTCCCAAATAGGACTGTCCCCCCTTTGATTTATTGGGGACAGTAATTACTATCCCTAATAGTTGTATATTAGAGACGAATTTGTTGTCTATCCCTAATACAATACTTATTCCCTAATATGATTTTTTATTATTATTATTATTATTAAATTTGTGACAGTTTAAACTGTCCCTAATACTTGATTATTATTATTATTATTATTATTATTATTATTATTATTTGCTCTACTGGATTTGTGTTCTAGAAAAACTTATTATACCAAAACATTGGAACTAAAAAGTACATACATCCACAACAATATCATTCTAGAAAGAAAAAAAAATAGATTATCACCACAGTACAGTGCCAACAAACAAGCTCTTAATCTCATGATGAAACTACAAATTCTCCAGTTTTGTAAACAAGAACTAAAAGTATTAACTAGCTGCTTTAACATCAAATGGTTCCAAACATCCTCAAAAATTAAAACATCATGTTAAACTCAATGCAATCATGAAAATGCAGGCCAAAAAATACACATACCAAAATAGTTAGAAATCAGCTAGCTAGCCATCAAAAAGCTCCAAAATATATTTACCAAAATAATTATCTTTATAGTTCATTCAGGTGATTGTTGTGGTGGTGTTGGCGGGTGGTGCTGAAATTGCCACCATGTTGGCGGCTGTTGATACTAGCTTGGCGGGGTATGCTGCTGTTGGGAATGTGACTGTGGTGGCGATTGTTGGTGTTGTTGTTGCTCAAGGAGCTGTTGTTGCTGCTGTTGTTGCTGTTGTTGCTGCTCAAGTAGCTTCTGAATTGTATCTAACTTCTCCTCCAAATTTGTAACTTTCTCCATAAGTAGTGCATTTTTTTCTTCAACATTTTTCACCCTTTTTCTAGAAGCCTCTTCAAAAGATGAGGATGCACGTTGATGGCTTGGAGCTACAAAACCATTTCCGATATGACATGATTGGTTTTCCACTATCTAATTGGTTTTCCACTATCTCAACATTATTTATGATATGACTGGTACCATCAGAATTGTGAGAAGCTTGTGAAAACTTCTCTTTCATTTCATCCTGAAATTAAGATTAATGTAGTGTTAACATCAGTATGTCAATAAAAAAAGTAATATTGCAATCAATAACTGAACAACTTTTTTCATTCTAGACTAAAGAAAGGTTCTCAGTTCTATGGTCACTTGCTCTTCACTTTTCTTCTGATTTTTTTGCATTTCTTCACTGTACTAATATTTCCTACTTATTTTCCTCATTTGCGGTATTCTGTTTTCATTTCAATACTAACAATAGAGGGAATATTAGGTGCAGTATTAAGTGGGTGAATAGCAGACTTCTTTAGTTGGGGAGGCGTAAGTTCTTTTTTGCCTTTCAATTATCTATAGGCTTATTTCAATTTTCATCAACACAATTGTGCCAACAATTAGCTTATATCAGTCTTGACTGAAATTTTATGGCAGGCAATGTGGTTTTCAGAAATTTTCTGCCTAATGGGATGGCTTGCAATATTATTTTCTGAGGTTTTTGATCTAATTTCCTACACAAGGTTTTCTATTTAAGTTCTGCTTTATCCAATCACCAAGGAGAACCAAAAAAATAAAATAATTAAATTGTGATGCGTACCTTCTAACATATCTTTATGAGCTGTACACACCCTATGAATCAGCTTTACGAAGAATGGTTCTTAGATAAACTTTAGGAAGAATAAGATTTTAATATAATCTTTCACAAATATTTAGTAAAAGATTGCTAAAATGGCAAAAATAATATCTAGAAATTACAGTTTAAGCAGAAGTCGCCTTAATATGTTTTTATGGATTTTTAAAACTTGTTAAAAGGATGGTATCTGGCTAGACGGTGGTTTTCAGAAATGTGATGCATCTTTTGTCAATGTTGCAGGAGTATATATATGTGTGTGTGTGTATCTTCCCCCAGTGAGTGTGTTTGTGTGTGTAAAAAGTGGTGGCCCTGGACAGCTCTAGCTGTGTAATCTTCCCATCTATTCGACAAAAAAAAAAATGGTAACTAGGTTGATACTTAGCTTATAGTTTTGGTTTATATTTAAAGGTAAAAAAAGGGAAGGGGCCTGATGCATGCTTGTCTTTATGATTCCAACCTACAAGTTTATATATTGTGTAGTGGTTAGCATGTGTTCACTCTCTTTGAGAAATCTTAGGGGGCTCTCTTTAATCAAAATCTACTTATCATCTATACACACTTATAATGCCAATGGGTCCCTTAGCTTCATCCATCTCCATATATATATACACACACATATATTTAAATCCAAAGGTAGTTTTGATTATTCTTTCCAACTGTAATATATCTCATCTGTCCAATGTCTTTATGATTTGTGCAACTTGGGAACTTCTTGGTGGGAGGACACAAATATGGTAGATGTACACGTACACTACACACTAGATAGTGATTGCATTATATATATATGGATTAATTAATTAATTAAGTTAATCCCTACACATGTATGTATGGGTCAAGTGAATGATGCCGCAAGGCGGTTTTGTTCCCTTGCTTTTGTAGTCCATCAATTCATCGAGTATATATATATAAAATATACAGCACAAAAAAATGTGACATCGTGCAATGAACAAACAAATAAAAAACCTAAAAGGGAAAAAATGGCTGAAAAAGAATAACATGGCTGCATGACAGCATAAAACCAGCTGTAGGGTCCAACAACCATGCATGTAGATTAAATGGGGAATTTCTAATACATGAAACAATCAAGTACGTGACGAAGTAAACGTTTAGTAAACTGACATATCATCTGTGATATCAGAACCAGTGTAGTAATATCCAAAAACATTCCTCAAAATAAACTGAAGTAAACTGATTTAACAGCTTTCAAATTAAGTTTTAAAAGCACAAAAAAAATTCCAACATGATGGTTCATTATATATGCAGGAAACATATTAACTAAGACCCTCCTCCTGCTATTTTTTTAATGTATTAGAGTGGAAAATTTATATATACTTCTACATATAAGTATATATACTGTATCTAATTTACTACACACACACACAATCTTATTATCAAACAAGATGGCAATAATAACATATTAAGAAAAATAAAAAGAAAGTAAAATGGGGAGAAAAAAACTTACATAGTTCTACTTAGCCATCTCGTTTACCCATCCAGTCTCTTACCTAAAATGCATGTCCTTGTACATACGAATAGCAGGACCCTCCTCAGGACTTTCAACTTCCTCATCTTCTTCGTTTTGCCTTTCTTGACTTTCTTTCAGCTACAACACAAAATATGATTTAGATGGATAATAAATTGAAATTTTATAATTATTATTTTAAGTATTACGTACATAAACATCATAGCGTCTAGCGAAAGACATCGATCCAAAAACATAAGAAATCTTATACTTCGAATGGTTGCCTTTATTTCTGTCACTTAGTTTCTACATATTAATTCAAACAATAATACAAGTTAAGAAATCTATATAGCTAGTCAATCAATGTAGTATAATCAATGATTTCAAGTAAATAATTTAAAGCAAGTGGTTAAAAATCCGAACTTGAAATTCTGGTGACGTCCACCAATCGCACATTTTTCCCCAAACATCAAGATCAATAATACCATAAGGACGAAAGCGTGAATTCTCAATTGGAAGATGCTTGTCAAAATGATTCTTCAATTTACATCTATATTTCCTCAAACGTTCAAACATTTCCTTAGTTACTCGTTTGAAATCAGTTTCATTGTCACGTGCATCCACTCCAAAGGTCACCTTTAAAATGGACATTTAATTTAAGTTAAAAAGAGCCCAATAATTCACACAACAAAAAGCATTGAAAATGTGAAAAATAAATAGCAAGTCAACAAAACAAATATTTTAACAGAGTGGTATCTCACTGAGAAAATACATAGCAAAATTAAAAATGATATAGTATTCCCCTTATGATATAGAATATAAAAAGAACTCATTACCTTAAAATGGTCATAGCAGACCTGTCTCTCATAATCTGGAATTTCCTTCCACGTTTTATATTTTAATATGTTTTTTTATCTCTCGCATGGATGCCAACCTCAGCCGTCCATAAATTGTGATTTTTGCCAACAGGTTTAATATAACCCATCCCAAACTCTATCGGAATTGGAACATCCTTTCCATAGAGTTCCTTAGCTTTGTGTGGGGCTATATTCTTTGCTTTTCCACGCCCTTTTCGTACTGGCCTGAAAAACAAAATTATCAACTTAATTAAAATATAGTCATTCTACAAAAATGCTTGTGGTTAATTAATAATGAAGCATAATTATCACCTCTACTTGGTTGTGGCCTCGTCTGTAAAGTATTATCATCACCTTCCATAATAGGCTGTTGACTTACTGAATTACTACCATCAGCTTCTCCACTCGGTTGTGTGGCAGCTGAACTTGTAGATGGTGTCTCAGTTCGAGTTTGAGGCATGCAGGTTCTTAATATTCTACGCATTGGTGCCTCAGAAGTGTCCATAATTCTGTTTACAAGCTGATATGAAGAATCAAGTAATATTAAATCAAAATAAACAAGCATATGCAGAATAACATTAGCATCAATATTAACATTATTGCTGGCCTGAGGAACCTCCACGTGATATATCCAATTGGTATACCCTTTGTCCATCCCATTACTCAAGAGATGTTGCTTAACCTGTTTAATTTCAAGATATTCCTTGTTTTTGCAACAACGACATGGACATCGGGTAATACCGTCTGCCTGTAAATGACGACTAGCCACCTTAATGAAGTTTTCTATGCCATCAAAATAGGTTCGACTACCCCTAGTGTGATGATGAATCCAAGACTTATCCATGTAACTGGCATTTTACATAAAATAAATAGATTAAAACAATATCGCCAATAACATTTATATTAATAGATTAAAACCAAAAAAAAATATATATATATATATATATATTAAATAAAATATCGAACGCAAAAAATTAACAGAAACAGAAATGGAGGTTGGATTTTTTATTTTATTTTATAAACTTCAACGCAAAAAATAAATTGTTGTCCCTAAAGGACTGTCACCAATACCGTTAATGCTAAATCTTAGATTTTATAGTGATCATTTATCCTTTAAAATGAACTTTTTCTAAAATCAATCACATGTGCGCTTTCAAAAACTCATAGCATGCTTGTTTTAGCCGTTAGAAAGACAAAAGTTTCCAAATATCAGACAATGGATTAGTTTGAAATTCATTAGCTGTCCCAGCACTATGCTCTGCTCTCTCAAATATTTGCTAAAGCCTAAGCATAAATAACAAGAATATTCAATCAATTTCAAAGAGTTTACTGTATCATAATGTGACGGCCCTGGTTTTTAGGCCAGTGCGTCCTATAATGAATCGAATGTAAATCCGAAAACGAATCCAAAATGCAGAAGCAAAAAAAATAAAACGGTCTCTAGAGATACAACGCATCTCTAAGACACCAATATGACACTCAATAAGGTCACGGAACTCAAAGAAAACAAATGTGGAAGCGGCGTTTCAAAAACGGACAAGAATGAACCTAAGGGCAAAACGGTCATTTCTAACATGAAAGTGGGTGCTACCGATCACACCATTGGAAAGACAACGAAAAATTAATCAAGATGGACTCAAGAATCGCATGATTCGGAGTCCGAACGAAGGAGAAACGACAAGACAAAGAAAAATGAGCACTTGAGGCTAAAAGGGTAAACTGGTAATTATCTATGAATATTTAGGTGCAACCAAGCACATCGTTGGATAGAAGAGGAAAAAATAGTCAAGTTCAAAAAAAAAAGTTCACTCAATTTGGAGTCTGAATGACAAAGTTATGATCAAATGAAGAAAAGGGTCAAAAGATACAACTCATGACCATCTAATCGATTAGACGCCAAAATAGAATGCAGGAAATCCCACGGAAAACCATCTAATCGATTAGATGGCTCATCTAATCAATTAGATGAGGCTGACAACAAGTAAAAAAATTTTTACCAGAAAACTGAATTCGAAATGGGATTTTCGTGTCCAGGACGACGTTTTTTGGAAAACACAAAGAAGAAACCCCCACCCCCCTAAAATCATGTTTTCTACATGACCATGTCAAGAAAAATTTTTATTTTTCAAATGAAATACTCAAAATACCCTTAAACCAGATTATGCAATAAAAATACAAAACGAGTCCATAGGAAGCTCAAATCACCAAGGATGAGGTTTTTCTTGAAAACGATCATGTACGCAAACATAACTTACCTATTAAGACGTGCTACAATAGTCCATGACTTAAAAATACCACCGATGTAAAATCCGACTCCCCAACGGCCAAAAAGGCAAAAATGCACATGAAATGGTAAATTTGAAAACCAATATTGACAAATGATTTTAAATTACCGTTTGGCCTTTGGCAACACTTCAAACATGATTAATGAGACCCTATGAAAGAATAGAAATAGAATTCCCACACCTGATGCAAACGTGGGGAAGCAAAAACTTGACATTTTTCAACATTTTCATAATATTTCATGAAATCAAAAATTACATAGGATACAAAATAATGATCATTGGCCTCCGGCCTCATCTCATACATGTCAAATACATTGTAAAGAGTGTACTCATGTACACATTACACAAATGGAATCAAATATACACATCTTGACAAATAAGGCTACAAGTGGCATCTCAAGCCAACTTTTACAAGAATTAAAATCTTCAAGTCTATAATCATCCAAGCAATGATGAACATCACGAACCAAGTCTTCATACCTGAACAAAACCCCCAGTAACTTCGGGGTGAGTAAATAAGTTTATTCGTAAGGAATAAGCATGCATAGACTCGATTTCTTACAAGATTTTTACATTAACATGAAATAATTCAAAAGGATCATGCCACCTAACGTCCATGTCAAAGGTTAGACTCAGGGAGCATCCTAAGTTACCTTAGAACATTTCTAGCATAAATCACATCATTCATGCAATTCCAACCAACATAGAAGCATGTTATACAAAGCAACAAGATATAAATTCTCAAAATCCTCAACTTGAAATCTAAAACACGAAAACAACTTAAGTAGATCATACCACCTAACGTCTATGTTCCAAATGAATTTATAAGATCATTCATAAGTTACATTTGAACATAAAACCACAAAGCACGATATCGATGCAATTTAACCAACATTGGAACTTCCAATACAACGCATAAAGCCTGATTTATCAAAGTTAACATCTTGAACTTAAAATGGGAAATCAAATAAGGAACAACAAGTTACAACATCATCTAGTTATCAACTTGAATTGAAATGCGAAATCAAACAAGGTGAATACTCGAACATCATGCCAGATCAGACCGACAACGTGATTACTTTAGGGTTGCTAGCCCATGGGTAAGCGCCCTATATGCGCACTAGACTATAGAGGGACATTCCCCCGTACTAGAACCATGTCCTAACCGTAGTCAAACAACGACATCCCCAAGTTTCCAAAATCAACAAGTTGTACAACAACGTATATATCAACATGTATATACAAGATAATCAACTATCTACCACACACAACCAAATTTGGAAATACATACAATACATGCTCTAAGTTCACAACTACTATAGCATGAAAGATGTCAAGAACAAAGTGTACAACTCATTACACAAGGCAATAATATAATCCATAAGGAAAACATGCTCTCATGAATATAAATAGAACAACAATGTTATCCTATACTCAAAACATAACCAAGTGAATATACAACAAGTCAAAATCCATGATTTGAATATAGAAACAACTTCTAAAATACAATTAGATCCATGAAGCCATTAGATAGAATTTAATTAAATAAAAATAATTAAATTCTCTAAATTTCAAATAACCTCGAATTATTATATGTTAAACAATATAGCATGTTCATTACATATATCAAATCAAATGAGCAAAATAAGCAAGACATCATCATGTAGAATTTTATTAATTTAAATTAATTAAATCTCTAATTTTCAAAAGTTGTTCAAATAATCCCAAATTAATATATAACAATGACTAAGTCATAATCATACCATATATCAAGTCTAAGATGGAATACAAGCAAAACACCATTAACTAGAATTTAAACAAATTAAATTCATTAAATCTCTAGATTTGAAAACTTATTTAAATCATCCCAATTTAATATATAACAAGGATCAAGTCATAACCATGCCATATATCAAGTCTAAAGTAAGTTACATGCAAATTACCATTTAATCATTTATTTCTCAAATCAACATAAGACATGCATACAACTTATAACTCGTTACAAAAGCAAGTAAGACCACATGAAAAATAAACCATAACCCCCCCTACCTCACTAGAGAAGTGTCTCTCTAGAATCCAAGTCAAATCAACATAAAATGGCAAACCCTTCAAGAGTTATATAGAGGAGGATGAGGGGAACAAAAAGTATTCCAAATTTCATGGTCAAAGGTGAGTGGAAGGGCCTCAAAAATCAAGGTCAAAGCCTAAGCATCAAACTTCTCTAATGGTGGCTAGGGTTTGTAGTGTGGAAGAGAATGAAACAAAATGATTAAGTGTGAGTGGAGGAAATAGAAATCCTCCACTCACTATGTGCTCTTACACCATGGTCAACACACACATCTATGGTCAATTGCACAAAAATCCCTCTTTAACAACATAATCCCAAAGTAGCCCAAAAATAATTGCAGGACTTAATTTGGAGCATATACTTATCACTAATCTAAACCAACAAGTGGTCCAATCATAGGCCAACAAGTGGGTGAATCTCCACCCTCCACATGTCATCATCCAAGGTATCAAAGTGTCTTCACACAAATGTCAACAAATGGACCAATGAGAGTGTGATACTTGTCACACTTTCCAACAATTGCAAAAAGGTCCTTTTTGAAAATATCTTCTAAATTAAATTACAAAATGGTCCCTAACTAAAACCCCACAAGTTAAGAATATTACAAAAATGTTATGCATCCATACCCTTTACAAGAAAAGTAAACACTTAGCATGCTTTTCTAAGAAAGTAAAAATACACATACTATGAAATTTAAATATTGTGGATGCATGCAAAACCGGAATCAAATCCGAACACGAAAAGTGAAGTTGTGCCAATAAAGTGACAAACGGAAAAAAGACGAAAAGTAAATAGTGTCCAAAAAGTGAAAATGTGAAAATGACTCGGTCCTTAAGAGAAATTGTCAATCCAAAGGAAAGAGTCTCAAAAATCATTTCTGGGCACTCTAGACGACACCAAGTGACAAAAAATCGAACATAGAAAAGAAATAACAACGGAAAAATTTAATTCGTAAAATTTGAAGAAAAAGGAAAGGAAGGAAAATAACCGGATCATTACACATAATGATTAAAATAATGTGGTTGGACGTGTAAGTATATAACAAGCTCTATAAAAAGAAATAAAAATCAAATAAGTAAACCACAACGATATATTACACAAAACAAAATGGCATCAAAAGTGACAAGAATGCAGATTCCCTTCAGAAATTGTTCACTATATGCAATGTATAAAACCACATAACGCGCGCACGCACACACATGTTTTAAGTCCATAATGCATTAATCACACAGACCAAAAGTTGAAAGTGGATCAAAGATCAGAGAGGATATAAGTATCAAATCTATTGAACTGATTTCTTTTAATTTTTGAACAAAACACATTGAGTCAGATATAAAAATACTCTACAAATAACACCACACAAAAAAAATAATAAATAGAGAGATAACTCTAGCCTCACCAAGCAAATAAGATCTAAGAAGCAACAGAAAACATATATATATATCAAAAATAAATAACACTTCCAACACTAGTAGAAGAGTAAGTAGTGACACTAAACTTTTGGTCGCTCTAGTAGTCCTTGTAGAGAAGATGTGCGGCACGAAACAAACAAGCAATTCATAGAAAACATTCCAAACTATCAGTCCAATCAACTAAGACAAATGAATGGGATATTCCAAAAATATAAAGAACTATCACTTTACGTGTTCAACTAAACATTTTGAGCTAGTGCAAAATTTACAAATCCATTAAATTGACAACATTTTTGGCTGCTCAAGTGGATCAGTAATTTTGGTGATTAGAGATTTTCTTAATTGCACAATATACAAGTGTTGCATTCTATAACAAATTAACAATTGCTTCCAAAAAAAACCATTGCCCTTCTGTTTTCTTGCCCAATAAAACTTTTTGAAAATTTAGTTCCAAAAGAAGATGGATACAACTAATTAGGCCAATAATTTATAGCAATACTAAATTTAGTTTATTCTGATTTTTTTTTCCCAAAAAAAAGAGGTTAAACCTCATCAGTATCATTTAGGTTAATGCAAAATTAGAATATTTCCAGAGCCATAAGAAGAATATTCAAAAATGAAAAAGTAGGGTTTGTGAGAGGATGACGAACCTGTTGATGGACTGACTTTGCTGCCTCTCAATTGAATTGAATTAGATGTTCACCCAATTAGACGAAGAAGAAGCCAATAAACTGCAAATTATATACCACTAAGATCAATCAACAAAACCCACAAAAAGCTAACACTCAAGTTTTGTGCGTTTGAAGCATTCATGTTAATTATATGTGTATACGTGTGTATATAGTGAATCTATAAGCAGTTAGGGTTCATTAATTGGGAAATAAGGGAATTGAGGAGTGAAAATTACCGGCGGTGGGATTGATGTTGAAGACGGCTAAGAGTGTTAGAGGACTCGTCGATAGGAGAGCAAAGGAAGTCAGGAAAGATCGTTTCCGGCTACTGCAGTTGGGGGGCTCTTCAAGACCTCCATGTTGATACCCACCTTGAGAAAGAGAAAATCTGGGGCTACGACTTCAATTGAAAAGAAATAGATCAATTGGGGAAGACCAAACCAGTTTGAGAGAGAGGACAGAAGGAGAAGCTCGAGCTAGGGCAAGAAACAGTCTTCAGACACAGAGCGCATCGAGTAAGAAATTTAGCAGAGTGATCCCTTGTGAACTTGAATTGTGGACTTCCTATGTAAGGTTCCAAACATAACTACATCCTTTCCACAACAAAGTGGACTTCCTATGTAAGCTTCAATATGACACAATTTGGCACTTCACACACACACCAAACCTTCCACGTGCTTCAGCCGCTCAAAACAACAAAATGCTTAAATAAAATCACACCATATTAATTAAATTTATCCTCTTAATCAACATCAAAATGTCCTTCACTATGATATTTGATTTAATGGTGGTAAATATTACAGGATAAAACATCATGTTACTCATATATTATCCAAACTCATGAGTTGGTAAATTCAAAACAATCAAATCGAAAAACTTTCTAAAAAAACACAGAATATTGGCCTTTAGACTTTACATTGATGCTCAATGGGCTATAAGAATAAATGAAATGCCATCACTATCTTTGCAGCTTCCCAATGGAGTGTAAATATATTGAGACAGAGACAACACTGTACACATGTAAATAGAAAAAGAAAAAAAGTAGAATTAGTACGAAGGAACTAAAAGTTAAAACATACCCAATCATAATATGCTCTCTTGTTTTTTTTTTTTTTTCAGACTAGAGCTAACCACCATTCTGGAATGGCTTTCACATTCTGATTTGTTCCAAAGTAAACAAGACCCCTAGCTCCTAAGCATGTTGCACATGGTACACATGCAGAAATGAGGACAAGATTGATGTGGTGGTATCTTAATAAACATTTAACTTATAATCTAACTCTATTAAATAAATACGATCCTACTTGGTCCCAGCACTATACATTTGCCATCCTATTCAAACAGGCAGAAAAGACTGGTTTACCTAAAACCTATTGAGCGTGCTACAACAAAGACCTGAAAAAATAAACCTAAAGGTACTTACATGGAGCCAAGGAAGAAGGCAATGGACAGATGAAACCTAAATAAGAATACAGAAACAACCGCTGTCAGCAGCATTGCCACTGAAGTAGAATACACCTGCAAAATTTTGGGCGGCTAAATAAGCACTACAATACAATCTTAGAAGTCCATAATGAGTGCCAAGTGATCTCTGATATGTGTCATCATGTTGATCTATTAATATGGCAAGATTTTCATGTTGCAAGGATGCTTAAGCCTTATGCAATATAGAAAATGGAGGAAGAAAATAAGTTCAAATATTAGCATCAACGTCCTTGTTACTTATATATATTTTTGGTTGAGAGATGAGGCATTGATAAATAGCTGTTAACCAAAATACAAATGCCTTTCCTTAGTATTTGCTGATACACACAGTATTTCTTATAAGAATCATTTGACCAGGCAATTACATAGGATCCTTTTCAGAGTATCATGGTATTAACAACTTAACCAAAAAGTTCAACTTGAAGAAAAGAAAGTTTGTATTAATAACCAAGAGAAGTAGGATTGCATATAACGCCCACTTACTGAAACAATTTTGGACAGATACAGAGAACCAAATGATATGCCTAGTAGAAACTTTGGCTTCAGTCCGCATTGCTACGAACTGATTTTTCAGACTACTATACTTAAAAATATATAAAATTGTAAGTTTAAATCATATTTTGCAACCTCCACCCTCAATATCCCACCATCACAATAATGTAGGTATGTGGTACTAGATCATTCTCTCATAAGTGAACATGGTAAGAGATCATTTAATGTTACAAGATGAAGTAAGAACATATACATTTTAGCCAAAACATTCTAGCAATTTCTTTCAATTCATTAGAAAAAAAAAACAAAATAAAACTGATATATACCCAGGCATAATAATTGTAGTATATATAGATGTAAAGATGTGAATTAGTACATCAATGAAAAAAATAAATAAATAAAAATAAAAATAAAAAAATTATCTTGCTATCTTACCTTCACGATGTTGTCAGCATACTTCATTACCATTGATACAGCAATGCCACTGCATAAATTACAAACTATTACGCACTTAGAGAATTGAAAAAAAAAATAAATAAATAAATATCCACATTCGGTCAATAGCACGATTGACAACAAATATAGACTATTTCAACAAAATATGAAGGTTAGTCATTAATTCCAATTTGCAAGCAACAATTGATGGAGGATATTTCACATCTTTTGCAGTCTTCCTAAAATTTTGATCCAAAAAGAAATATTTAGATGAATATCTTTTGCAATATTTGAGGGCATAACTATATAACTTGCAAATACCTACTTGCTTGAAACATTGTTCAATTAACCGGCATCTGAGTCAATTTAGAAACAATTAAACTTGATGTGTAATTCAACTGAATGAAGCTTTATCCCAAATATTTCGATTGGCTACATGAACTTTATGTGCTGCTTTTCTCTTTCTAAGGTCGTCATTTTAGTTAACTCAAATCTTACCCATCAGCTTTATGTGCTGCTTTCTTTCCTTACCCATGTAGCACCTATTGCATTCCAAAAGTAGGTTCTTTACAGATACCTTCTCAACCCCTCCTACCTTCCCTTTTAATTTTTCATCCCACACCAAGCAGATTATAAAACGAATATGCATGTCATGGTTAGTAGTTATCCATAAGATAACCAAATCGATTACAAACTTAATCAGAAAGTGGTTCAGACAAGTCTTCAAGATTTAAAAAACCGGTGGATGCTCTTGTACCAAAAACAGAACTGTAAATTTTCTCTATATATAAAAATTTAAGGATATTATATAAAACATGCATACATGTTAGCAATTACATAATTCAAATTAGATATTGTTATAATCCAAAAGGACTTGAAGATCATGATCAAATCTGGCACTAGTACTAAATCCCCAGTGAAACCAAAATGCAGGTTAGGGATGGCGAGGTACAGTTAATTAAATGTCAACTGTTGACATAAATGAATACATCTTCTTCCTGCTTCAATAAACCTGTTCCGAAACTTCTTTACCTCCTTTCAAACAAAGCAAGCCTACCATTATCTTGGTCTCTTCTAATTCTGTTGAATAGTAGGGTTCTATGATGATGAAAACTCCTCCCGAGCATGTAAAGAAATTTTAAAACAAGAGCCTGTTAAAATAAAAGTTTCCTTCTCTTGTTTAATATTTTGAGGAGACTCTTAAGAGTATTAAATTTAAAACCTTTAACAAAAGAAATAACAGGTGCAATTTTTACATTTTTCTTGTAACAAATTCAATCTTAAAATAAAGAGGGCAAGTCTCAGATTTTTCTGATAAGGTACATGAATCCTAAAAGTAATCAACTAGCGCCAAAAATCAAAAAATTGTGCATGAGTTTCCTAATATGAATTCAATAAGACGATTACTAGTGACCGCTTCTTTTGAAGTTTGAATATTAACATATTAATAGAAGTTTTCTCTAAATCCATAAAGTTTTATTACAGAAAAGATTTATTTCAAAATATTGCAATGTTAATTTTTAAAATGAAAGGTAAATCATAGATGTTATAACCACCCTTTGTGTCCTGCCCCTGCTGATAGAAATATGTTTTTACCAAGCCCAGCACTGAACCCAAATTTGTTGATATCCCTTCTTCCTCTATTTCATTTTTTCCTCTTTGAGAAAAGAAAACTAAAAAAGAAGCATACATATAATATTTGATTTAAAGCAAAGGGACCAAAAATTAATTTATTCAGATTTTATTTTTCAAGTGCATTATATTTAAGCCATCATAGACTTCACTCAAGGTAAAAAGGACATTCACTGTAAATAAAATTATCAACTGAATTGGGAAAAATCAAGGGGTAACAAGGATATTTGCTATAAATGGTGCATACCATATGTGACAAACCATTTTTAAGTTCTCATCAATCATTTTTTTTTTTTTTGATAAGTAAATTCATTTAAGAAAGAAAACCGTTTAACAAGGGAACGCGTCCCACATAAATTATAGATAGGGTAAAATCACATAACCCCCCTCTACTTTCAATTTTGTGCAAAAAACCCCCACTAAAATTAAACCACCCCCTGAACTAAATCCTTATCACATTGCCCCAAAAGTAACTTCGTAAAATTGGCGTACTCAATTTGAGAGCCTGACTATCATTATATACAAGCGGAAAATTACAAATATGGAAAAGAGAATAAAATCAAATCAAAATAAAGAGAATAAAATCAAATCAAATCAAATCAGAATAAAAATAAAATCCCTAAAAATTAGCCTATATTGAAGACCCAATAAATCTGCCATAATTGTTGAGTCAACTTATAGATAAGAATTCCAACACTCCCCCTCAAGCTGGAGCAAATATGTTGACTAAGCCCAGCTTGACTATGGAAGACTGGAGAAGAGAAGGCCCAACAGACTTTGTGAACACATCTGCAGTCTATTCTGAAGAAGGAACAAAAATAGGACTAATGATATCCGATCGAACCTTCTCTCAAATAAAGTGAATGTCTACCTCAATATGTTTCGACCTTTCATGTAAAACAGAATTAAAAGCAAGCATAATGGCTGATTTATTGTCACAAAACAGCCTTAAAGAACCTTTCTGTACAAGACCCAACTCTCCCAAAATTGATTGAAGCCAAAGAAGCTCACAAGTACCTTGAGCCATAGCTCGGTATTCAGCTTCAGCAGAGGATCTAGAAACAACAACCTGCTTCTTGCTCTTCCATAATATGAGATAATTACCATAGAAAGTACAGAAGCCAGAGGTAGAACGTCTATCTGTCTTACATCCAGCATAGTCTGCATCAGTAAAGCATAAGAGTCCAGACTGATTTCCTGAGGCATAGAACAGACCAAGACCAGGGCACGACTTAAGGTACCTCAAAATATGGTAGACTGCATCCATATGAGCTGAGCGAGGGGCATGAATGAATTGACTAATCACACTAACAGCAAATGTCAAATCGGGCCTTGTGTTAGTCAAGTAGATAAGACGACCTACTAAACGTTGATATACGGATGGATCTGGAAGTAATTCCCCTGACTCAACAGAGAGTTTAAGATTGGGGTCTATAGGAGTGGAAGCGGGTCAACACCCAAGCATGCCAGTATCTTGAAGAAGATCCAAAATATATTTCCTTTGAGATAAAGAAATTCCACGACGGGATCTAGCAACCTCAATTCCAAGAAAATATTGAAGAGGACCTAAGTCCTTCACATCAAAGGACTTTTGAAGATGAAGTTTCGCCTGAGCAATCCCTGAAGCATCATCACCTGTGATAATGATATCATCCACATATACCAATAACATAATGCAACGACCACCAGAGCGACGTCGAATAAAACAAGTATGGTCTGAGTGGCGGCGCACAAAGCCCATGGATAAAACAACATCGCTGAAACGACTAAACCAAGCTCTAGGAGATTGCTTCAGACCATAAAGAGACTTCCGTAGCCTACAGACTTTCCCAGCATACTCCCCCTCAGCCCGAAATCCAGGGAGTGGATCCATATATATAGTCTCAAGTAAGTCTCCATTAAGAAATGCATTCTTGACATCTAACTGATGCAGAGGCCAAGAATGGGCAGTAGACAAGGAGACGAGCAATTGCACAGACGTCAACTTAGCCACAGGAGCAAAGGTAGCACTAAAGTCTTTGCCCGGAATCTGAGTAAAGCCTTTTGCCACCAACCGAGCCTTATACCGATCAATAGAACCATCGGTTAAGTACTTCACATTAAAGACCCATTTGCAGCCAACCGTTTTCTCCACAGGAGGTAAAGCAACAAGTTCCCATGTATTATTATGGTGTAAAGCATCAATTTCTGTTGTCATGGCAGACACCCAATTGGGATCCTGGAGGGCCTCTGGCACAAAACGAGGAATAGAAACGGTCCCAATCTTGCCCAGGAAGGATTTATATGCACCTGAAAGACCATCATAGGAGACATACTGGGAAATAGGGTGGTTAGTGCTACTAGAAAAACCATACCAATTAGGAGGATGACGATCACGGGTAGGATAACGGGAGATACGCTCAGGAATTGTAGGAGCAATAGGAGAAGGAGAGTTACCTGGACCTGGTTCTGAAGATGATTCTGGCAGGGGAGGTTGAGTGCGATGGCGACGAGAATAGACCTGCAAAGGTGGAAGGTAACCCTGCATGGATGGAGAAGGAGATTCCAGGACAGTGTGATTTTCAAATAGATGAACAGGACGGGCAATAGGAGAAATCTCCTTCTCCAGATCACAAGAGAGAGAATCCTGTACCACAGAATTAGTACTATAAAAAGAAACAGTTTCATGAAATGTCACATCAAGAGAATGATACATGTGTTTCGTCACAGGATCATAACAACGATAGCCCTTTGACATAGCAGAATACCCCATGAAAATACACCTAATAGATTTATCATCAAGTTTATGACGAGAAGGACTACGGTTATGAACAAAAAAAGTACAACCAAAAACTCGAGGCAGAAGGTGAAACAATGTATAATCAGGTTGGAGAATCTGAAGTGGTGCCTTACCACCCAAAACTTGACTGGGAGTACGATTAATCAGAAAACCAGTTGTAAGAACAGCCATGTGCCAATAGAATTTAGGCACATGCATACCACTCAGAAGACATTGGACCACAGACATAAGATGACGGTTTTTGCGTTCAGCCACGCCATTTTGCTCAGGAGTATAGGAGCAAGTGAGTTGATGTAAAATCCCCTTTTTATTAAGTTCAGACCGGAACTCATTCGAAACATATTCTCGTCCATTATCAGAACAAATATTACGGACAACAGTGTTATACTGGGTTTTGATCATTTGAAGAAACTGGGTAAATAAAAGAAACACATCATATTTCTTTTTCAATAAATAAACCCAAGTACAACAAGAATAATCATCAATAAATGTCACATAATATCGATGTCCAGAGAAAGCAGTAACTGGGGAAAGGCCCAGACATCAGAATGAAAAAGATCAAACATACTAGGAGCACGACTCATATGAGAAATATAGCTAGTTCTAGTATGTTTAGAAAGCTCACAAACTTCACATTG